GGGGGGAGCCGGGGCAGGGGAAGGTCAGCGCTCTGGACGGTGTTCCCACTAAGGCCCAGCCCCCCCCTGCTGCCTGTCCCCAGGCCTGGGGGCGCAGAGCCGCCCCGCCCCACCCCGCCCCGGGCGCCGCCTGGGCGGGTGATGGATGGTGGGCCCGCGGGAGGCGGTCGCCCTGGCAACCGCGCCATCCCCATGGCAACGTGGAGGCCCAGCAGGCGGGGGTGGGGCAGCCCTGTGCTGGGGGGCCCGAGAGGCTTCTCGCCCTGGGCCTCCAGCTTCCGAGTGGGAGGGGCTTGGCGTCAGGGGTGCCGGCTGGGAGCAGCTTGGAGCCCCTGTCTGGGCGGCCCTGGTGTCCCCACCCCTGTGTCCGTCCCAGATGGCCACCTGCCTACTGGGTGGGGACCCGCGACAGGCTCAGCTCCCGAAACCTGGGGGCCGGTGGGTGTCGGGCGCCACTCCCCAGGAAAGAAACCGAGGCCAGGCGGGTTGGCTTCGAAGGGGGTTGATCCTCGGGCCGGGCCTGGGCAGGCCACTCCCACAGGCAGCAGCAGGGGCCGAGCTGGGGCCTGGGAGGGTCGCCGCCCCCGTCCGTGGCTGCGCTGGGCAAGAGTGCCCGCTCCAGGTCGGGCCGCGCCCTGCGCCCTGCGCGGCGCCCACCAGCAGCGCACGCGGGCGTCCTGTCCTCGCGCGATTATTTTTACGCGCTTGGAGCAAAATCTGGGCTCTGGCGCGATGTGGGCGTCTCCGCGAGGGCGTCGTCTGCAAGCGCGTGAGATAATCCCGGCTCCAGGATGAGCCAATGGGCCCGAACCCAACCCAGCCCGCAGCTCAGCTGTGCCCGAGTCGGTTTTTTAAAGCCCAGAGAGGTTATGCAACCGACCCAAGGTCACCCAGCGGGCAGGGAGGCCCCCTGGAAGGTGGGAGGTGTGTGTAGGGTGGCCCTTGTCCTTCCAGGGCCCAGGCGGGAGCTCTGGCGGGAACCAGGGGGTCCCGGCTGGGCAGGCTCCGAGCCCAGGCCTGGAACAT